GTGGGGGTGGGCTCCCCGCAGCGGGGGAGGCTGAGTGGAGTAGTGCACGTGGAGGTGTCAGCTCCGGACGGGAGGGGAGAGGAGGAGCAGGGCTGTTTTTAGGGAGGAGAGAAGTTGGAATAAACAGCTCGCCCTCCTGTGCCCTCCTGACATCACTTTCCCTTTTGTGTCCCTGAAAGTTTTCCTTGGGCAGCAAGATTAACGTGAAGGTGGGAGGAAACAGCAAAGGAACCTTGAAGGTGAGAGCCCGCAGCACGGGCGCCGGGCCAGCAGGGGGCGCTGGGGTCTGGAGGGGGAACAGGAAGACACGCAGGGCTGTGCGCCCCTGGGTGCTGGCCTGCACCTCCCCCATCGAGCCACAGGCCCTGCTTCCTCCTGCTCCCCTTGCCTGCCTGACACAGCCCCTTCACCAGCTGCCCAGTTGCCCTCCCCCCAGCCCTCCGTCCCCTGATGCCCGGGGCCCTGTCACTTGGTCTCTGACTCGGGGCTAAGACAGCCTGGAGCTCCTCCCACGCCCAAGCCCCACGCTCTGAGCCGTCAGACTAGCCTTCGGACCCCCTCCCCGCCCCCCCCACACACGGTTGGGTGCCTGTACCTCCCTGGCCAGACGGGGGTGCCCGCCACAAGGTCTCCTGGCCTTGAACGTCCTCCCCCTGCTTCTCTTCCCATGAGGCAAACTCCTCCTCCTCCTCACGCCCCGGCCCAAAGCCTTTCCCTGCGGCCTCTGCAGGTGCAGAGCGCTGGTCCCGAGGGCGGGCCCTGCCCCCGCCTCACCGTCCAGCCCGCCTGGCCCTGGCCCTTCGTGTTCTCTGCTGGTCAGGAGGGAGATGGGAAGGGCCCAGGCCTCAAAGCCCCCGCCCGGCCGTGCCCTGAGCTGTGCTCTGGAGAGAGGCCTGGGCCCAGGTGCCATGTTCCCTCCACGCCCCTTGCTGGCCAGGTCCTCCGTACCTACAACGTCCTGGACATGCAGAACACGACCTGCCAGGATCTTCAGATCGAGGTGACGGTCCTGGGCCACGTGGAGTACACAAGTGAGTGCTGGGGGCGGGCGCCCCGGGGCCTCCAGGGGCTGGTGCAGGGGCGGAGTCTCAGTGCCCCCTCCCCCAGTGGCAGCCGAGGAGGACTACAAGGACTACTACGACTACGAGAACCAGGGGGACTCCGAGAGTCTGGGCTTCGCCGGAGACGACCCGGGGGCCCTTTCCCGGCCTGTGACACCCCTGCAGCTGTTTGAGGGGCGGAGGAGCCGCCGCAGAAGGGAGGTACCCAAGGTGGCCGAGGAGCAGGAGGCCCGAGTGCAGTACACCGTGTGCATCTGGTGAGCCTGCGGGCGGGGGGCGGTCTGCGCGCTGGGCAGGGCACCCAGACCACAGGGCTCGTCTCTCCGCAGGCGGAACGGCAAGGTGGGGCTGTCCGGCATGGCCATCGCGGACATCACCCTCCTGAGCGGATTCCACGCCCTGCGGGCTGACCTGGAGAAGGTGTGGTCAGGAGCCCGGCTCCGGCCCTGCAGCCCCTGCAGGTGACCCTCTGTGGCCGCCTCCCTGTGACCCTCTCCTTCTTTGCAGCTGACGTCCCTCTCTGACCGTTATGTGAGTCACTTTGAGACCGAGGGGCCCCACGTCCTGCTGTACTTCGACTCGGTGAGCAGGGAGGCGACTGGCGTGGGGCACTGTGCTCCAGGGAGGCAGGACACGAGGGAGGCCATGCGGGCAGGGGCCGGGGCAGGGGCAGGGCCGAGCCCCTAATGTGGTTTGGGGCCGTCAGCAGGGGGTGTGGAGAGTGAGCCTGTCAGAAAGCCGACTGTATTCGACCTGAGGGTTTGCTTTGTGGTCCTTTTTATTGACCGTCCTAGAAAAGTGTACTTTCTTTCAAGAAGTGATGTTGGTCATAGTGAGTGGTCTTGTCTCTGCGGCCTAGTGGCTAAAACAAAGTTTTCAACCCTCTGATGGCCCTCAGCATTTTTTGGATGTTTAGTGGGCCTGGGGGGCCCAGAGGCGAGCACAGTGGCCGCAGCTGCCCTAGTGGCAGAGGAAGGAGGCCTGGACGTATCCGTGGTGAAGCGAGGCTGCCAGGAGGGGGTGGGTTGGGGGCAGGCAGAGTGGCTTGGAGAATTTGTGCATCCTGCAAAAGTCCTAATGGAGGAGCAAGGCTGACGGTTTTGTTTGGCAATCAGCCAGGAAGGGGCTGGTGAAAGCTGGGCCGTGGGGGAGACCGGCGTAGGGGGCGCGAGGAAGGCAGGCGAGGGGAGGTCACAAACAACCAGTCAGCAGCAGAGACGCCCAGAAGTGAACCCTGAGCTTAAGGGGAGCTGCACGTGGTGTGTCCTGTGTCCGCAAGGCGACACCGCACAGGCACTCGGGGACCAGGCGGGGCCGGGGAGGTCACCATCTGGGCAGTGAGGTCAGCAGGGACCTTGGGAGCAGTTGTTAGTGTTCTGGCGGCCGGAAGGTAACAGAATGTGAAGGACACTGAAGATGAGACAGCGGACACCAGAGACAGGCCAAGGAGTGTCCCTCAGGCCTGTGGGGCCCTGACCTCCCCCCGCCCCCGCAGGTCCCCACCTCCCGGGAGTGCGTGGGCTTTGGAGCTGTGCAGGAGGTGGCCGTGGGGCTGGTGCAGCCGGCCAGCGCCACCCTGTACGACTACTACAACCCTGGCAAGTACCTGGGGCACCAGGACTGGGGCTGTGGAGGGGCAGGGAGGTCCTGGGGCTCCAGAGGACTGGCTGGCAGGAGGGCAGGTGCCCTAACGCCCCTCTCTGCTCTCCTCCAGAGCACAAGTGCTCTGTGTTTTATGGGGCACCAACTAAGAGCAAACTCCTGTCCACGCTGTGCTCCGCGGACGTCTGC